TTGAGCCCGCGGGCGCAATAGTTCGCAATAGTTGCGCGCCATAGTTGCGCGCAATCGTTCCACGCAGCGAACTATTGCAGCTGCGGTTTGCGGCCACATTTCCAAATGCTCCATTTTCCCGGAACCAGCCCGGTCACTCCCGCGATCGCGGTCCCGCCCGTCTCTGCGCTCTCCACCGCCGCCGCCGCTGCCGCCTCCTCCGCCCCAGCCCCCGCCCACGCCTCCGCCGCCTCCGCCGCTTCCGCCCCTCCTCCTGGCGCTATCCCTGCGGGCTGGCATTAAGGCCTGGAGCCACGCGCGCACTTTTGCACGCGTGGTGTGCACTGCTGGATTGGAAGCGGGCAGACTGCGCCAAGGCCCTCAAAAGGCTGCGGAGGTGGCCTAGGACGTGCAATTCGACGAATGTCTCCAGTAAGAAAATACATGAGAGATCATGCCCCGCCCCCAGCCGTCTGCACCGCGCCACACGCCCCAAGATCACACCCCTCAACAGGGCAAACGAATTTGGCATCTGGCCAGGCCAAGATACAAATGGCGATGACAAGAGTGCTGTTTCGAAATAAGACGTCTTCATGATCCCCTGCAGAAGATGCCGGTCATTCTTCGGAACGACAATGAGGCTTTGCCCGTGCACCCTGAGCTCGACGTCAACCCACGGCACCGCGCCCCCAGATTCTTCTGACCGGCACGCCACAGACAGTTGCTCAGCAAACACCCCCGTCATGAACCCGATTGCGCACAGACAGCACCAGCTGCGACTGGCCACGATGATGTCGTCAACGTACCTGCGCAAACAGATGCACTGTCTCGCGGACCAGGGATTGAAGTGGAAACCTGCGGCCGCGAAGTCGAATCCAAGCTTGAAGTACACCCGCTCCTGGTGGCCGACAACAATGGCCACGCATATTGTGCTCATGACTCCTCCAATCGGTAAGCCGGCACATGAGAAAACTACGGAACCCAGGCACACATAGGAGGCGACAGAGAAAGCGAGCAGGGCCTTCGCCAGGTCTCATGTTGATCAAGATATCCACCCGGATTCGAATCCGTGGCCGCCCACGCGCACCTCCGCCTTCAGGCCCTTGCGAACAAACACGCGGTGCCCGTGGACCCGTTGAGCTCCTCGAAGGTACTGGCGAAGTCGGCCCACGCTGGTAGGACCTTGGATCCGTTGCACGCTTCAAAAGCTTGATCTACATCCAGTGTGACAATGGATACCTGCCCATTCAGAGACGCCTGGCACCGACAACACCGCTCCGTCGCCAGGCGCGTGAGCCCCGCCATCAATTCGTTCAAAGCTTGGCGTATTTAGTGGAAACCGAAGACCTCCAGCGTGGAGCCGGATGTCTCGATGACAGCACGTGTTCTTCGCCCCAAGTACCGCCAAGCCATTTGGAACGGGCCGCGAGACGTGTCCACAACGCGCCGCCAGCATGAGTGAAGTGGTTTTTCACACTGGCGCGCGCCGTCGTCCCGTAAGCACTTTGATTTTATCAGGGGAAAGACCGACGGGGCTATGCTGGATTTCTCGCGAGGGTCCTTCCGGAGGAAAGCAGGGATGCCCTACTCCGATTGTGCCCACAACAACGTTTCATTTTCCTGCACTGACAACGATTCCCGCTTCCAGCTCGGGTCCGACAACATGGCTTGCAAGAGGTACAAGACGGCCTCTTGCGCATCGACGGTCCAAGCCTTATTCCGGTCCCGATCGTCCCCGACAATCAAATGCTGGCGTCGGACGGCACGACCCAATGGCGTCTCCATCTCCGCCCACTCCGCTGGCGCTTTTGGGCACGCTGCGCGGGTGACCGCCCCCTCTGCGCCGCGGCGGCCAGATCGCCGGGCTCGCGCGGGTAGCCTCGCCACTGTAGCCCACAACGACCAGCTGGTGACAAGGCGGCTCCGAAGTCCTTTGGCTCCTGGCCACCGCGGCAATCTCCAATGGCCTGGACTGGCAGTGAGCGACGTCACCCTGGCCTTCCGGGCCAAGTCCTCTCGGCTGGACACATAGAAATTGCTGGGGCCCATCTGCTGGAGCTCACGATTGGCGTTGACGCAGTCTGCCCACCTCGAGGTGCGTTCAGCCACGAAACGGACGTGTGAGCGCAGCCGTGCTCGCGCTTGCTCGCATCGGATCTCGTCCAGCGCCCCCGTGAGAGTCCTCCTCGAGGCTCCGCGCTTGCGGGCCAGCGCGGCAGGGACGCCCAAGGGTGGAATCCGCAACGGTGGCAACTTTTCAAGCTGACCCCGCACGGCCAGGCGGCGGCAGTTGCCGGGAACGGCTGGAGACATGTCCCCACATTTGTAAAACAATTCAACGATTTCCCATCTCCGCCAAGATTCCGTCAATCGAATGTACGGCGGACGGCACGCGAGCTAAGACATACATAAATTCTCACGACCTGCGTCGTACAAGTGTACTCCGCAGTCCGCGCCATTTGCTCCTGACGCTGTAGAAAGTACAAGTGTGGGAATGAACTCCACGGCACCTGATCCGCAAGATCAGCCGAAACACTTGCCACGAGCTGGTCGTGCACCCGCGACGTGACTGGAGACGACCGCGCACTGGCTGTGACAGACGCGCGCCGGCGAAACCGCGGAAACGGTCTGCGCCTCTGGACGGTGCGCATCTGGAAGTGCCTTGTCCACCCGCGCCCTGCACCAGAGCGTTGTTGTTCCACGACGTTGCAATCGGGAGCCATTGCCTGTATCAGACGGGACTCTGCAGCCGTGGTGGCAGTCATGCCGTCAAACCATACGACGGGTAAAAAACAGAGTGTCCACAAATCCTGGCGCAACATTGCGTATCGTTTTCGACGGGCCTCCAGAGAAGAAGACCGGAGTGACATCCGAACGTGCTCGACCAGTCTGCCATGAAGGCCAGGGCCATGCTGGCGCTGCAGGCGCGCTCTGCCCACGTGCAGGCCAGCACGCCCCCACAGAGCGCATGCGACGCCGCCAGCCTCAGGACCACCGCCCGCAACCAGATTCTTGATGACAGCTTCTGGAGCGGATCCTGGTTGCAACAAGGCTGCTCCGACGCCTGGAATTGGCACGGCCAACGCTGGGGGTGCCCAAACTGCACGGCCCGGCGCAATCGAGCCACAGACAGCGCCACAAGAACCTCCAAGAGCATGCCGTCGCGGTGCGTGTTCTTCGTTCCCCAGGCCATGCCTGGTGGACAGAGGTCGTGAGCTCTGCAACGGCCAGAAGCAATGCGGAAACGTCAAGCACGCGGCAGCAGACCCACACCCATTGCGACACTGCTTCCCTCCCATGCGGACCTGGGCGGCGGAGCGTGCCGAGAAAGGGGGTTATGACGGCATGGGCCCGCACGGCGGCCTCTCCCGGCCGGGGCCACCGCACCTCCTCGAACCTCTCCTTCGGAACATGTGGCATGAAGTCGCGGAAGAACGTGGAAGAACAGGATATGGACAGAGAAGAAGACGAGGGAGACGAATAGTACGAAAGGGTCGTCCTGCAAACGCCGTCGCCGGAGCCGGATCTGTCTGCAGAGAAAGGAGGAGTACTCTAAAGTACCGTGACGCCGACGAGGAGGAGGAGGAGGAGGAGGAGGAGGAGGAGGAGGAGGAGGAGGGAGGAGGAATGTGGCGCCACCCTCAGGAGGAGGAGGTGGAGGAGGAAGATCGAGGCGGAGGAGGGAGAAGAGAAGAGGAGGAGGAGGGGGAGGCGCACGAAGAAGAGGAGGAGGAGGAGGAGGAGGGGGAGGAGGAGGAGGAGATTGACAGGAGGGATGGGGACACCTCCGCGGCAAAGTGCCCGGCACGGGGCGTCAAATCGTCCGGGGCTTCTGCTGTGAAGCATCAGTCGGGGCACGATCCCTCGGCCTGCCTTTTCTCCTTCCCCTGCCGTCGCCTTCAGTCGTCCATCCCGTCTCGTGAAGTCAACTGTCTGTCGCTGCCCCCCCTCCCTGCTTCGCTCCGGCCTCCCCCCGGGCCTGCCTCCCACTTCCCCCGTTCTCTCGTCCCGACTCCCAGGCGCACCGACGCCGTGCCGTTTCGAACCAATGCCGCCCTCCGATTTCAAAGCTCACCTGCATGCGACATTGCAGGACCGGCGGCAGCCTTTAGCTAACCACTGTCATAGTTCGTCTGTGTCGTTCAGTTGGCTCGCATGCGTATCGGGTGCCTTGCCAGTTTGGGCAGCCTGCGCGAAGCTAAGGGGATGGGCGCAAGGCGGCTGTCCCCCTTGGGGCAATGCTTTCCGATCGAGTCGGGCATGTCGGACGAACAGTCTCGGAGGGGGAAGAATACGCATCGAACGCAGAGTTCGAGCTTGTGCCATGATGTAGTGCGGCATGCATGTTGACACTGGTCCAGAGAGAAGGCGTCTAGCCGTCCTGACTCCTGACCTCGAGGCCACCCGTGCAGCTCTTCGCAGACATATGAGAGCCAGCGGTAAGAAAGCTGTGCACCGAGCCGCCAACACCGAGAACACGAAATCACCCTCCCAGGAGGTGGCCGCTTGAGATTCCTTGATTCGCAGGTCGTGGGGCACCAATGACATCCATGCTTGCTCGGAGGCGTGTCCTTGACCTTCTGGTTACGAGACAGTGGACACCCATGCCAAGAAGCACTCTGCTTGCCTCCAAGGTGCTGTGGGTTTCTTGGGTTTCGATGGTTTTGCTATGGAAAGCGTAACGTTCCCACCAAAATGATGATGTTCCAACCTACTTTGGCTTCGACCACCAGAAAGAATTTCGAGCACCAGAAAAGTACCTAAACTCGACGGTGTTCACGTGTCGGGCCCTGGGAGACACTCGTCCGACACTGTTTCGACACTCTTTCGACACTCTTTCGACACTTTTCACGGCGCTCGAAATTATTTTTGGGATGTGGTCCTGAAGTGCGATGGGAGCAACATAACACCAAAAATCAATGGATGCCCTGAGGTCTCATGGGTGGGTTTCTTGTGGAGGGTGTATTGTGCTCGAGCTCCTACTGTTGTTCTTGTTCGTGGCATGTGCTGTACCGCGGGAGGTGGCATCGGACCAGAACTGGATACCGGGGCGATGAAGGCTTGCGCTTGAGCTTGCTCGCGCTTTGCCCTTTCTGTTGCCCAGTGTCAGAACTTAACTTTCCACATCACCGAGACATCTTTAGGTCTGTCCAGCCTACCTCATTTGTCAGACCACTCCCAGAGCTCCCCATCAGGTTATCCAGATGCCTGTGGCAAATTGTGCCACCGTGTCAGCCCAGCATTCTGAGTGGCGACTGTACGTGAGAGCACCGGAGGCTTTCGAGTGTGCCATATCGTGTCCTCAAGCGTAGGAAAGCCTTGATGAGAATGATAAGGATGATGCTGATGATGATGCTGATGATGGTGATGATGATGATGCTGGTGATGGCGATGGTGATGGTGATGGTGATGGTGATGGTGATTGTGATGATGATGATGGTGGTGATGCTGGTGATGAGGGTTATGATGATGATGATGATGATGATGATGATGATGATGATGATGATACTGCTGATGATGATGCTGATTGTGACGATGATGGTGATCGTGATGATGATGGCGATGACGATGATGATGATGATGATGACGATCATGAGTATTATGTTGATGGTGATGCTGGTGATGGCGATGATGATGGTGATGACGATGATGATGACTATGATCATGATGATGATCATGTTGATGATGATGAGGAAGAGGAGGAGGATGATGATGATGCTGACGATGCTGATGCTTATGATGATGATGATGCTGATGCTGATGCTGATGCTGATACTGATGCTGCTGATGATGATGCTGATGCTGATGCTGATGCTGATGTTGCTGCTGCTGCTGCTGTTGCTGCTGATGATGATGATGATGATGATGATGATGATGATGATGATGATGATTATGCTGATGCTGCTGCTGCTGCTGATGATGATGATGATGAGGAGGAGGAGAAGGAGGAGGAGGATGGCCGTGTCATATGTGACACCTTGCGTCTTCACTTCTTGGTGAGCTTTCATGGAGCTCATTTGGGCCATCGTGTGGCTGCCATAGGCTCCTGTGGGCCAGTCTTGGGGCTCTCTAGGGCCGTCTTAAGGACCTTTTCGGTTGCCGTGGGGCCCCCTTAGTGTGGCTCGGGGCTCTCCTGGACCGTCTTGGAGCCCTCTTGGCCCTGTGGATGCTGTCTTGGGGCCGTCGTGGGGCCGTCTTGGGCTGTCTTGAGGTCTTCTTGGAGGCCTCTTGGGCCATCATGTGATCCTCTTGGGCCGTCTTGAGACACTCCAAGGGGCTTCTTGGGCAGTCTTAGGGCCATCTTGAAGGCTTCTTGGGCCGTCTTGAGCTGACAGACACTCGAAACGGAGGGCATGCGGAACCTTGCCAAACAACATAAAGCAATCATTGCTTTGGGCTTAATCGGGGCCTGTTGGAGCTCCTCTTCTGGCCCTCTTGCGTCCTCGTGGAAGCATCGTAGGCCCTCTTGAGCCCATCTTGGGTCGCCTTGGGGCCATATTGTGCCGCCTCGGAGGCGTCTTGTGCTTTTTAGCGACCTCAGCTGCCTGCATGAGTCGTCTTGGAAGCTCGGGAGCGCAGAGCCATAGCTTTTTTACGAGGGATCGTGGCCTCGGGAGCTCGGACCCATCTTTGTTGTGCCACGGGTCGTGGCTTTCAGGAGGGGGGGGGTCGATGCACGCCACACCCTGCGCGGAGAGGGGGAGGGCCCTTCAGAAAAGAGTGGAAAACCCACAGAGCCTTTGGAATTCTCGACCACGCCCCCCAACGTGCCAGGGGGCACGGTTCCGGGTTTGGTGCTTGTTGCTATTTAGCATCGCTCGGACGTGTTCATTTTTTCTGGGCGAGGACCACCGGGAAGCATTTTGGATCATCTGGCGAACAAGGGAACGTCGCAAGAAACCGACAATGGCACGGGGCATGGACGTTCGAGCGATGACAATGGACGGGGGCACGGTCTCCGATGTTTGACTTGTCCCTGTTCTGCCGCTCCACGTCGCCATGTGCTCATCTCCTGACACCTCTGCGGGCTCCGAGCCACCAGGCCTACTTCCTCCAGTTTGGCGACATATCAGACTGTGTCGTCATGAAGGACGGGCGGCGATGAGGGTCGAGCATGCAGGAAGGTGGGAAGAGAAGACGCAACCCCTCCTCCCTCTCTTCCCCGGTCCCATCCTACCCCCACCCGCCTTTCCACAGCTGGCCCTCGCCCCCACCGCAACCCCATCCCTTGCCGCTTCTCCCCCAAACGTCCCCCATTCTCCCCTCAACCCCTCGACAGGTTGGCGTGAGGAGCATGTCTGGGTAGTTTCCTGCCCCCGCTTGCCACGCCCGCTGTCCCGTGCCTGGCAGGATGGGGTCGGGGGTCCACTCCGCTCCTTTCGCTGGCTTGTCTCAGCCTGACGAGCGAAGTGTCCAATCCAATCCCCTCAACCCCTCTCATCGCGCCAGTGCGCGTGCCGTCGTGGGCGTGCTCACCCGTTGTCCTCCTGCCGCCGTGTCTCCCCTGCCTCGCACACTCCCCTGCCTCCCTGCTATGCCCGCCTTTCCTGCCTCTGTCTGCCCCGCCCACCCCTAACACGGCGGGGCCTTTTTTAGCGTTCCAGGTCGGCTATGATACGCGCCCCTGGATAGAGAGTACAGTCAACCCACATAGTGAGGATGAGCGGCTTTCCAAGGTTACCCTTGCATCCTTCCCCTTCGGCCCATCCTCGGCCGCTTTCGCTGGCACCGCCCCGCTCGTAAAGTGTCGGCATGGCCTTCCAAAGCCCTTGCATCATTATCGTGCGTTCTTACTATACAGGTTGACTGCACATCAGCGCAAAGTTAAGGAATGGGAGGGAGGGGTAGGATGTCAGACAGGGCGCTAGCGCACACCTACGGTAAATTCATGCGGCGTTGGCGCGCCGACGTCGCCGGCGAAGGCGTTCAAGGCTGAATTCTGCGGCGCGGAGGCTCCGAGGGACGCGGTAACGCCAATGGGCCCGACGGATCTCAACCTCGAATGATCAGGGCCGCGATCGGTTCAGGGTTGAACGATCGACGCGGTGTCAAAACCTTTGCGCGCACCAACGCCGCATGAACCTACTTAACTGTCCTTCCCCCCTCTCCCGCGTCGGCTCTCCAGCTCCCGACACGCGCACTTGCCTCGACCACGTTGGCCCCCGCTCGCAGGGGCTCCTAGGCCGTGAGCCTTTTCTGGAACTCGGACCGCCTTGGAGGTCGTGTCCAGCGTGCACCCGTACAACCCCCTGGAATAAAAAGTCCGGACCGCAGAGGTCGGGGAATAAGCCTTGAGGTTCGGCCCCCGTTAGGCCACGGGGCCCCGGTACAATGTTGCAGGGGCCGCCATGGTTAAATTTCCGGTCCATCCTCACCCCCTCTAATATTATAATCGCCAAATGGGGTGACGACCGGAAATCCGCATTCCGCCTCATACTTCCCCCAAAAAAAAAACCGGACGCTTTCCAGGCGACCGGAAATTCTCAGTGGCGACCGGAAATTGGCGATTTCGCTCGGGACTTCCTCGCAAATAGATTTCCGGTCCCAGTTATGTTGCTTGGAAGTTGCGATTATGTTTGGTATATTTCTTGCCAGTCATGTTTACCTCTCGGGGAGCGACGATGCAAGGGGGCCTGCAGTGCCGATCCGGACTTTTTAATCCAGGGGGTGGTTGCAAAAAATGTCCTTTCCAAGCCAGCATGCGTCTTTCGAGTGAGACGATTGGACGAAACGTGCCCGGTCGAGCTTGAGCCCAGAGACGCGTTCGCCAGGCGTTTGCGGGCCGCTGCGCGGTGGGCGAACGCGCGCAGGTCGGAACAGCTTTGGTATCTATCCACCAACCAGAAAGAGAGGGCGGCAGACTGCCTGCTCTCAAACCCACCCGGCGCGCGCACTAAATGGTGAGTGCGCTTTGTTCGGCGTGGGCGCCCGCTTTTTAGGTAGACGCTGAGCAAATGCGCGATCGGTGGCGCTCTCGCGGTGGGGGTTGCAAGAAATGTCCTTTCCAAGCCAGCATACGTCTTTCGAGTAAAACGATTGGACGAAACGTGCCCGGTCGAGCTTGAGCCCATGCAGAGACGCGTTCGTCAGGCGTCTGCGGGCCGCTGCGCGGTGGGCGAACGCGCGCAGGTCGGAACAGCTTTGGTATCTATCCACCAACCAGAAAAAAGAGGGCGGCAGACTGCCTGCCTGCTCTCAAACCCACCCGGCGCGCGCACTAAATGGTGAGTGCGCTTTGCTCGGCGTGGGCGCCCGCTTTTTAGGTAGACGCTGAGCAAATGCGCGAGCGGTGGCGCTCTCGCGGTGGGGGTTGCAAAAAATGTCCTTTCCAAGCCAGCATGCGTCTTTCGAGTGAGACGATTGGACGAAACGTGCCCGGTCGAGCTTGAGCCCAGAGACGCGTTCGCCAGGCGTCTGCGGGCCGCTGCGCGGTGGGCGAACGCGCGCAGGTCGGGACAGCTTTGGTATCTATCCACCAACCAGAAAGAGAGGGCGGCAGACTGCCTGCTCTCAAACCCACCCGGCGCGCGCACTAAATGGTGAGTGCGCTTTGTTCGGCGTGGGCGCCCGCTTTTTAGGTAGACGCTGAGCAAATGCGCGAGCGGTGGCGCTCTCGCGGTGGGGGTTGCAAAAAATGTCATTTCCAAGCCAGCATGCGTCTTTCGAGTGAGACGATTGGACGAAACGTGCCCGGTCGAGCTTGAGCCCAGAGACGCGTTCGTCAGGCGTCTGCGGGCCGCTTCGCGGTGGGCGAACGCGCGCAGGTCGGGACAGCTTTGGTATCTATCCACCAACCAGAAAGAGAGGGCGGCAGACTGCCTGCTCTCAAACCCACCCGGCGCGCGCACTAAATGGTGAGTGCGCTTTGTTCGGCGTGGGCGCCCGCTTTTTAGGTAGACGCTGAGCAAATGCGCGAGCGGTGGCGCTCTCGCGGTGGGGGTTGCAAAAAATGTCCTTTCCAAGCCAGCATACGTCTTTCGAGTAAAACGATTGGACGAAACGTGCCCGGTCGAGCTTGAGCCCAGAGACGCGTTCGTCAGGCGTCTGCGGGCCGCTGCGCGGTGGGCGAACGCGCGCAGGTCGGGACAGCTTTGGTATCTATCCACCAACCAGAAAAAGAGGGCGGCAGACTGCCTGCTCTCAAACCCACCCGGCGCGCGCACTAATGGTGAGTGCGCTTTGTTCGGCGTGGGCGCCCGCTTTTTAGGTAGGCGCTGAGCAAATGCGCGAGCGGTGGCGCTCTCGCGGTGGCGGTTGCAAAAAATGTCTTTTCCAAGCCAGCATGCGTCTTTCGAGTGAGACGATTGGACGAAACGTGCCCGGTCGAGCTTGAGCCCAGAGACGCGTTCGCCAGGCGTCTGCGGGCCGCTGCGCGGTGGGCGAACGCGCGCAGGTCGGGGCAGCTTTGGTGTCTATCCACCAACCAGAAAGAGAGGGCGGCAGACTGCCTGCTCTCAAACCCACCCGGCGCGCGCACTAAATGGTGAGTGCGCTTTGCTCGGCGTGGCCGCCCGCTTTTTAGGTAGACGCTGAGCAAGTGCGCGAGCGGTGGCGCTCTCGCGGTGGGGGTTGCAAAAAATGTCATTTCCAAGCCAGCATGCGTCTTTCGAGTGAGACGATTGGACGAAACGTGCCCGGTCGAGCTTGAGCCCGGAGACGCGTTCGCCAGGCGTCTGCGGGCCGCTGCGCGGTGGGCGAACGCGCGCAGGTCGGAACAGCTTTGGTGTCTATCCACCAACCAGAAAGAGAGGGCGGCAGACTGCCTGCTCTCAAGCCCACCCGGCGCACGCACTAAATGGTGAGTGCGCTTTGCTCGGCGTGGGCGCCCGCTTTTTAGGTAGACGCTGAGCAAATGCGCGAGCGGTGGCGCTCTCGCGGTGGGCGTTGCAAAACATGTCTTTTCCAAGCCAGCATGCGTCTTTCGAGTGAGACGATTGGACGAAACGTGCCCGGTCGAGCTTGAGCCCAGAGACGCGTTCGCCAGGCGTCTGCGGGCCGCTGCGCGGTGGGCGAACGCGCGCAGGTCGGGGCAGCTTTGGTATCTACTCAACCAGAAAGAGAGGGCGGCAGACTGCCTGCTCTCAAACCCACCCGGCGCGCGCACTAAATGGCGAGTGCGTTTTGTTCGGCGTGGGCGCCCGCTTTTTAGGTAGACACTGAGCAAATGCGCGAGCGGTGGCGCTCTCGCGGCTGGGGTTGCAAAAAATGTCCTTTCCAAGCCAGCATGCGTCTTTCGAGTGAGACGATTGGACGAAACGTGCCCGGTCGAGCTTGAGCCCAGAGACGCGTTCGTCAGGCGTCTGCGGGCCGCTGCGCGGTGGGCGAACGCGCGCAGGTCGGGGCAGCTTTGGCGTCTATCCACTAACCAGAAAGAGAGGGCGGCAGACTGCCTGCTCTCAAACCCACCCGGCGCGCGCACTAAATGGCGAGTGCGCTTTGTTCGGCGTGGGCGCCCGCTTTTTGGGTAGACGCTGAGCAAATGCGCGAGCGGTGGCGCTCTCGCGGTGGGGGTTGCAAAAAATGTCCTTTCCAAGCCAGCATGCGTCTTTCGAGTGAGACGATTGGACGAAACGTGCCCGGTCGAGCTTGAGCCCAGAGACGCGTTCGCCAGGCGTCTGCGGGCCGCTGCGCGGTGGGCGAACGCGCGCCGGTCGGGACAGCTTTGGTATCTATCCACCAACCAGAAAGAGAGGGCGGCAGACTGCCTGCTCTCAAACCCACCCGGCGCGCGCACTAAATGGCGAGTGCGTTTTGTTCGGCGTGGGCGCCCGCTTTTTAGGTAGACGCTGAGCAAATGCGCGAGCGGTGGCGCTCTCGCGGTGGACACGCTAACGGCGATGTAGGCAGCGGCGATGTAGGTTTAGGTGTTGTAGGCGGGGGTGGTTCGTGGCCAACCCAAGTATAGGAAAGGCTTGTTTGTGTTTTCCTACACTTTGTTTTGCGCGAGTTCGGCGTCGCAAAAACCAGATTCCCAACATCGCCGTTAACCAACATCGCCGTCAGCGTAGCCTTCGTGCACTGTGGGAGCGGGGGTCGGGGCCACCTAGACCAGGACATTGTTGACCAGGGCCTGAAGATTCCACTGACGGATGGCGAGGGTCTCGACCCACGGCTGCAGCTCTATTGGGTGCGCCAGTGTCCTGGTTCCTCAGGGTCCCCGCTCAGGGGGCTCTGACGGGGGTGGGGGTCTGCACCACCGCAGCGTGCCGCACGATTGCCAGGCCCCTGCAGCCGTTCTTGTCCCAGCTGCCTCGATGCGCCCGTTTTGAAATGCAACCCGTCCTGTGCTCAAGACGTCCGTGTCAATACGTTGCGTGCTGGTTCAGCGTATTGACTTGCGTCCTGACGAGCGTATCGCGTCATACCTTCGTGTTCAGTATACGGGTTGAGTTCCGTATCGACACGCTGCGTGTTACGTGTTGCGTATCGGGGCGGCTAAATTTCTCAACCATCCTGTGGTGTTGGGTCCTCGTTTCGGAGAAAACAGCGCCCCGCGTCCCTCCTCCTTTCCTCCTCCCCCTCCTCCCTCCTCCTCTCCCCTCTCCTCCTCTTACCCCTGTCTCTGCCCTCCTCCCTCCTCCCTCTCCTCCCATCCTTGCCTCGGCTCCGTGAGCATTCTGATCACAAAACCGAAGATGCTGGCATTTTCGCAGTGCGCCCCACATCGGCCAGGTCACGATCCCGCTGTAACCAGCCGGAATCGTGTGTTGGCTCCCGAATAACCCATTGAGAAGCCATTCGGGGTCGACGCTTCTTTGTCACGTTCTCGGAAGTCACAAAGGATCAAACGAGCGCCGGCCCAGCCAGCCAGCCAGATGCTGCTCTTGTGGCAAACAGTGCGGGAAACAACTAAGGCCACGTGTGCTAGATCCAGGCAGTTTACCCGCACCGTAGCGGGAAGGGCGAAGACAGGAGCGTCGCCAAGGCAGGTTGGCGAAGGACAGGAGGAGGCGGCGGAGATATTTAATCAGCTCGTCGCGAGCTGCGAACGTCTGAGCGCGGAGCAATGGTCCCGCGGGGCCCACTGGCGTGGTCAGACGATGCAGAGGAAGGCCAAGGTAAGACCTATGCGGCGAAAGCGCCGTGAGAAGCAGCTGGGTATTTCATGGAGCAGGGGGGCGTGGGGGGCGGTGATCGAGGTCGTCATCGCAGGGTGGGTAGCAAGTCGTGATCGAGGAGATTGTGTAGGCTCGTGTGTGATGCTTGGCTTTACACAGCCAGCCTTGGCGACCTAGCGCCGCATAGGAGGAATATGCATGTTGTGCGTGTTGCTATGTTGTGTGTGTGTGTGTCCGTGTGTGTGCGTGTTTGTGTGTGCATTCGAGTGTGAGTCGCGGCGCGTTCGTGAGGTTGCAAAGATCGTGGGGGTCGTCAAGGGAGCAGTCAGGAGGTGGATGGGGGCGCGTTGAAGCCGCTTGAGCGTTACAGCAGCAGTCGATGATAAGCAGGTGATAGGACCAGCATGAAGAATTTTAACACTGCAGTGCATGGATTGCTCGGGTGTTCGAAGACAACGACCTAACGCCGCGATCCGCATGTGCCTCGTGACAACTGTTCACCACACTTCACCTCGTTTTGCCGCGTTCATGGACGGTCGCGCATGTATGTATTGCTGGCGGTGTGATCTGCGCTCTTCAAGGATGGCGGCGGCCGTAATCGAGGTGTCGCCTTTTCTGATTCGAATAGTTTGCGTAACATGTCGCTGTTGGCGCGATGCTCCCTGTAGTATTGCAGCACTCGCGTTTCCCCCATGCTTGAGGTACCATCGGATGCACATTATGTTGTCATGTATTGGATCAGACGTACCTCCTGCATAAGACTGTGCTTCTTCTCGGGCTCAGCGGCATGTGCTCAGAAGGGTGCGCCAGACTAGTTAAACACGTCTTCTTCTCGAGATGGATGCGTTGCGTTGGGGTAGTTTCGGTGTCTTACTTCCCGCTGATAGATGCGACTTGTTTAGAACAAGCAGTTGGTCTACACGCTTGCCCGTTGGGTTTGCGACAGTTTAACAGGATCGTGACTGCGTGTGGGTCCCCCCCTGGCGGGCCGCACTGGTCAACAGCTCATTCGTGACCTGGGATAACCAGTTGATCTGCTGACAGTGTCACGCTGTATTGTGATCTTCTGCGACATGGTTGAAGCTCTAGCCGCTTGGTGTGCATTATTGGGCATGTTCAATGTTCACTCACTTGTGCATGTCAGCCTTCATGTGTCCTTCTTCTTCTTACCTGCCGCCCCCCTTAACCCTCCCTGCACGTATCTCTCCCTCTCTCTCATTATCGTGCGCTCTTTCTCTGCCTTTCCCTGTCTATCTCTCTTTCTCTCTTCACCCAGCGTCGCGTCTCCACTCGCACTGTTCACGCAGAGCGCCTGCGAAGCATCCGTTGCCTGCGCGTTCCCTCCTGACCTCTCCGCAGGCTTCGGCTTCGTGCAGTTCAGAAAGAAGGAGGACGCTGTGAAGTGCATGCAGGCAGCGCTTTTGTAGAAGAGTGGCAACGCAGGACCTTCGAGCAGTGACAGCGACAGGAGAGGGGAAGGGATTGAGTGGAATTGTGACGCACTGATTTAGCGGCCGACAGGAAGCGAGTGGAGGCGAGGTAGCAGCCAGGGGGCAGCGGAGACTCGACTGGGGGCGGTCGTTGCAACCCCCTCTCCCTAACGTGGACTACCCACTTAACGTCACCTGGACTTCGGTGACACCGAGCCTGGCCCGCGCGGAATGGGCGTGACACCTGCATTTTGGCGACACGCTTGTCTCGGAATGATGCTGCGACCAGTGCGTGGGCCACATCTCTGATTGAAAATATTGCTGTCGCCTTGGCCCCGGCGACATCCTTCTTGGAACATGTCGTTCTCGCCTGTGCATGGGCCGCATGTCTGATTGAAAATACTGCTGTCGCCTAGGCGCTGGCGACAGCTTTCATTGAGCGTGTCGTTCTCGCCTTGGCGCCGGCCACATCTCCAATGAAGCATGTTGCTGCGACTTTCTTGCCGTCCACATCCTTCATCGAGCATGTCGTTCTCGCTTTGGCGCCTGCCACACTTCTGATTGAAAGGAAAAAGCATCCTTCATTGAGCATGCCGTTCTCGCCCTGGCGCCAGCCACATCTCTGATTGAGAGTGTTGCTGTCGCCCAAATGCCAGCGACATCCTTCATTGAGCATGTCGTTCTCGCCTGTTCGTGGGCCGCATATTAGTTGTTTCCTCCCTTCTTCGAAGGCCAGAACCGCAGGTTCTCAGAGCCTGGCTTGACATCTTCTGGCAATGTTGGTGTGTACGAAGGAGTCCCAGAATACAGGCAGACACAGTGTATCTTTGCATTCAACACGTGCGCGTGGTGTTTTCGCACAGTCGGAAACAGAGGTGTAGTTCGTGACAGCGTCGGCCTGCCCCGTGTGGTTGGTTGTGGCAGGTCCTGAAGAGGATAATCAACCACCCGCCGAAACGCTGGAGACGGACTGGACCAGGGTTGTCCGAAAGAGTGGGCAGATTCAGTCCTAGACCGGAAAGGGAACCAATGGAAGTTGCGCAGTCAACTGCTTCTCGGCGACCCTGGCGCGGTTGTCCGTTGTCAGGCGAGCCTGAGGCGGGTGTACAAATAATGCTATGTCTGTTGCACTCATATGGATATGCTTGGCGAATAAATGGTTATCAGTCGAAAGTCTCTCCAGGAGCTCGTCTTCGGTGGGGCGGCCTTTTTCCCAACAGTCAGAAAGGTAGCAATGGTGGCTTTACCCAAAAAAAGGGGCTTCGCAGGTGAGCTCTGGTTATCCACGAGCGCCTAACGCAGGGGCCGGGTGGCTCACACCCCTGGGCCGTGGTTGGAGTCCGCTCATGGAAAGGGGGCAGTCGCCCAGCTTAGCTGCGGTTGCCGCCGGTGTCACGAGAGAGGGGGCAGTTGTTGCCTCCCTTCTTTGCAGGCCACACCAGCAGGTTCTCAGAGCCTGGCTTGACATCTTCGGGCAATTGTGGCGTGCACGAAGGAGTTCCCGAGTACAGCCTGACACCGTGTATCTTTGCATTCAAGAGGTGCGCGTGGTGTTTTTGGCACAGTCGGAAACAGAGGCGTCGTTCGTGACAGCGTCGGCCTGCCCCGCGTGGTTGGTTGTGGCAGGTCCTGAAGAGGATCGCCAACCACACGCCGAAACGCTGGAGACGGACTGGACCAGGGTTGCCCGAAACCGTGGGCATACTCAGTCCTAGACCGGAAAGGGAACCAATGGAAGTTGCGCAGTCAGTTGCTTCTCGGCGACCCTGGCGCGGTTGTCCGTTGTCAGGCGAGCCTGAGGCGGGTGTACAAAGAATGCCTTGTATGTTGCACTGGTGTGGGTATGCTTGGCGAATGAGTCTATATGATTGACAATGTTGCTTGCTGTCGCCTAGATGCCAGCGACATCCTTAATTTTAAGGACTGTGCCCAAAAGGGTTCCTAGATGATTCCTTACCTGATGAAGGCGGCGGTGCTATCCATGGTCACGTCTCAGTTGGTGTGCCAGCGGCTTCCAGACCCTGGGTTCCTTATTCACTTGTGCCTTGTCCAGTGCCCTCGCAGTGTGGGTTGTCTGCAAGTGCAGGCGACCTGGGCGCGTTGAAGGGCAGGGACGAGGGAGCAGGCCCAAACCTCCGACGGGCCCCCTTCGGAGTTCCGTGCCCCATCCATGGGATCAGCATTGTAATTCGGTCTCGCTGCCGTAAGGCGGACAGCCAAGATCCCAGATTTGGAAAGCACCTCGTGGGGGGAGAGCGCAATGTGTCAGCTCGGCCAGGCTATCGGCGCGAAGCCGTGCGAATTGCGTACGGCCGCCCTGGTAAGTACGCATTTCGACCAGAACCGTTTTTTGACCACGCGGGCTGGCGGTCATCATCGCTGTAGGCCGCTCCGCTCCTCTCCTTCTTCCCCGGTCGCACGGCAGGTACGCCTCCTGCCTCCCGTTTTTCATAGGGCGAGGACAGCGATGCAGATCCACCTCTTCCCTCCGCCGTCACCCCTTTTCCCCAGGAAAGGGGAAAGCAATCAGAGTAGGGGGGTCCCAGGGGGGCAGGGAGGAAAAAGGACGTGGAAGCGTATGAATGTCAGATTCCTGTCACGGTTCATCGTGCGCACGTGGTGTGAGGAGTGTTCGGTGGCGCCGCGCTTGTCCGCTCCTCTCCGCCGTTCCTTCCCAAAGGGCGTTGCGGATTCAGACGCTGCAGGCGGGAGGCGGTCGCGATTATGATGTGTTTGTGCGTGTGCGTATGTGTGTTTGTGTGTGTGTGAGCGTGTGTGTGTGTCAGCTGGCTCTGCGAATCAAATCGCATTGCCATTAAAACCGTGTGACAAACCCGGGGCGGGCGAGGAGGAAGGGGGACAAGGAACGTGCGCAAATTTGGTCGGAGTATGTGATCTGCGGGCAAAAACGATGTGTGTATGCGTGTGTTCTCCGTCGCAGCGTATTTTACCCTCTCCCTAGAGTCGACATGAGCTCCCTGGGTGGGTGCCAGCGCGCCCCCTCGCTGGCACCTGCTGAGTCCAGAGTTTTTTTGTGGCGATGCTCTGAGCCCGAAGCTGATGTCCTGCGTGCCTCGTCCTGCGTGCACCATCTCAACGGCCTCGCGCTTCGCGGCCTGGGCCAGAGAGGCTGCCCTTCTCTATGGGGGCCGAGCGTGGGCGCGAAGACAGCCGCGGCTCGTGCTTTGCGCTGGGCGCAGCGCAAAGCACCAGCGCAGGTGACCCAGTCCAATCCCAATCCCCTCTGTCTGCGGCATTTGTCCAGCCAGATCAATCATTGAGGGTCCCGTCGGGCGGGGTTTGGGCAGGGATAAACCGTTCCGGAGCGTCCCAGAACGCTGTCAGAGCGTTCAGTAACGCTTTGCGAAGACCACGCCGCCCGACACATCCTCCAGAGAACCACCGGATCCCAGAGATTCCTGGTTCCATCCCTGTCCGATGCTGTCCCTGTCTTGGCCTCGTCTTATCCCCGGGTCTGAAGCCGGGCGGAAACGTCCAGTGCGAGCAGACACAGTCAATTTGTTCCCCCAATCCCCGAGCTGCGCCCAACAAGTCTGGCCGCTCAGAAAAAGGGGCAACTCTGGGATACACGCCAAGGGGGCTATTCGGACGCACCCCTTATCGAGGACGGACGCCCTCCCCTCGTAGATCCCAGGTTTGGGCCCCAAATTTCTTGTCCAGTCGAAACCTCCCAAAGCCTTGGATAGGGGTCGACATCTCCCCAGTTAAACATTCGGGCCGAAACGAAGGGGGGGATAGAAAAGTGAGTGGTACGAAATCTGCTGCATGCAGCTGGTTTCGGCCCCGCCACCAGGCCCACTCTTCGATAGGTGAACGCCTCCCGGCGCCAGGAGGCGCCAGGAAAAGCGAGCTACGTGAGCTGATTCTCTACCCGACCCTTTGCTATCCAACCCGTTCGCCATAGAGGTATCCTATCCTATCCGACCCTTTGCTATCCTATCCTACCCTGAACTTCGCAATCCCCCTATCCTATCCTATACTATCCTATCATATCCTACCCTACCATGTCCTATCCTATCCTACCCGACCTGATTCCCTACCCGACCCTTTGCTACATATCCTATCCCACCCTACCCCTTCGCCTCTCCCCTACACACACACCGAAACAGACATGCCACAGGGGGCGGTCGCGCGCGCCCGCGCGCGCACCCCGGCGGGGGCCTCGCCGCCGTGGCTGCCGGCGGCCCCCGCCAGGCGTGGGGCACCCACATGCTCGGCGGGCGCTACGTCGAGGCGCGGCGGTTGAACAGAAGCATCCTCGACCCTCGATCCTCAGCCCTCCTCTCGATCCTCGCTCCTCGCTCCTCCCTCCCCCCTTCGATCGCGGCCTTCGAGGAGGTCCAGCGCCCGTTTCCCTCAGGACCCGTTTCCCCTATGCTCAGGAGCAAGAGGTCACGATAATGCTGCGTTCCAGGATGTCCAAGCTGTCCTGGGTTTCCAAGATTCCCTGCGGTTCCACACGGACCGCAGGAGCGAGGGCCGCTAGACATTCTGGACATCCTGGAACGCTTCTTGAGCCAATCCTATCATGACATCTCTCATATCCAAAGAAGGCCGCGGCACCCGAGACATCCTGCAGAACCGCCAGATCTCAGATATCCCCGATTTCTCTCTGCCCAATGTTGTCCCTGTCCTGGCCTTGTTTGAGGAGGGATCGAAGAAGACAAAACTGCATTACCGTAAACAATCGGAGCTGAGCTCCCCGCGGATTTCGCGGGTCGGCGCTGGGGCCCCCTCCCTGGCGCGCGGAGCGCTCCAGGGGCGACGCCGGAGGCGCCAGGCGCCCCAGCGCTGATCCAAGAAATCCGCGCGGAGCTCCGAAAGTTTGCGTTTGTGCCGTTCTTTGCTCCTCTGGAGGAGGCAGGAGCAGTGGGGGTCGGGTCGGGCCGGGCGAAAGGGGGGATAGGGAAGGGAAGGGGGGGTCGGGTCGGCCGAGAGGGGGATGAGGTCGGGCGAGAGGGGAAGGATCGAGTCGGGCGAGAGGGGTCGGGTCAGGTCCGGGATGGGCTGGGCGAGAGGGGTCAAGTCGGATCGGGCGAGAGGGGTCGGGTCGGGTCGGGTCCTCGGTGCCGTCCGGCGCGGGGAGCATTGGTTGCGTGAGGTGATTCGTTGACCCTTTTGCTATCCCGCTCCCTTTTCGTCCGACCCGAAGGGGGAGGGGAAGGGCCTTCAGACCAGGGCGACGCAATAGAAAGAGCGAGCGTGTTTCTTTACTGCTTGCCCCCGCCACACCCCCTCATAAAGCAACACCCCCGCCCCCAGTGCGCCCCGGGCACTGCCGCCGTGCGCATCAAGATCCGCATGGGCGTCCGTATAGGAATCCGCATAGGGGTCTGGTCCGCAGTCGTTATCGTCGTTGTCGTCGTCGTGGTGGTGGTGGTGGTCGTCGTTGTCGTCGTCGTGGTGGTGGTGGCGGTCGTCGTTGTCGTTGTCGTCGCTCGTCGCTCGTCGCTCGTCGCTCGTCTCACGTCGCTCATCGTCGTCGTGCGCGCGGACGCGGCTGGAGCTTGTCTTTTTTGGGGGGGTTCTGGGCCGATGACGGCCGTTATATGGGGGGGGAGGGGGCCGATGACGTCACGTTTCGCGCCGGCGACGTCTGGGAATGAGGACGGGTAGCAGCAGTAGTGTAGATGGCGATCTGCGCCACAGCGCCTGTGTACACCACAGTGCCTGCGGGCACCAAAGCGCTTGTGTACACCTACCGCGCCTGCGTACACCACATCAGCCGTGTGCAACACAGTATCAGTGTACAGACAATGCCTGCGTGCACTACAGCGCCTATGTACACCACGGCGCCTGCGTGCACCACAGCAACCGTGCGCAACAGACCACCACTGTTGCATATATAATGGTAGAAGGAATCCTTACTTATGACAAAATGGAGCGCCCCTGTGAATTCCACAGAAAGCAATTATTTCATTTCGGATTTTGATAGGAATCCTTCTTGAAAAAGGGGCGCCGCTGGAATCTACGAGTCTTCCCGAATCTTCCTGCATCCTCCTATCCCTTCCCGTCTGAGTCAGGAGGATCAAGCAGAATTGGCCGTCCGAGAGCCGAATGGATTGATTCAATCGACCATTCTGCGGTGCATGCTGAGTCGCGCACGTGCGCTGTAGCGCCGACCCGCACGACAGGGAGGAAGGAGGAGGACGAGGAGGAGGAGGACGAGGAGGAAGAGGAGGAACGGAGAAGGTGGAGGTGGAGGAGGAGGAGGAGGAAGGAGGGAAAAACGTCGCATTCCTTCATCAGGACTCCTCACCTACATGCTGTCCGAAGCAACTCGTCACCTACATGCTCCTTCTACTTGTCCTGTGCGTGCAGGCGTTGTGGTGTACACCGGCGCTGCGTTGCACGCAGATGCTGTGTAGACAGGCGCTGTGGTGTGCACAGGTGCTGCGGTGCACGCATTGTGGTGTACGCAGGCACTGTGTGTACACGCGCGCTGTGGTGCACGCGAGCATTGCGGTGTACACAGACGCTGTGGGGCAGAGCGCCTCCTACATTCTGCTCCTACTTGGCCTCGGTCATTCCGAGGAATTCCTGGACGCCGCTGGCGCGGAACGTGATGTCATCTGGGGGGTGGGGGGCGGGGCCGATGGCGGCAATCCCGGAACATAAAAAACATATTCTTGCGGTGCGGGTACCAAACGGCGGGGGGGTGGGACGTTGCGTTATACCCCCCCCTCCCCCCCACATAACGGTCATTATCGCCGAAAATAAAGAAACGCGCTCAAAGCCAGTGACGCTTGGTTCTGCGTTTTCGGCCTCTGGAGCTGTGGAGGCAGTTTCCGCGGCCCGGGACTGTAAAGCAACGACTTGGGATGAAACGCTGGCCGCGGGCGGGGGAAGGGTCGAGACAGGGCCACGTCTGCTGGCAGCCGAGAGATCAAAACATGCAGCGTCGGAGGAGAGGGGAGGAGGGGGGCGAGGGAGGGCCCCAGGGCCAGCAACAAAGAATCCGGGGCGAAATGGCGTCCCCGGGGAAGGGGGCGCGGGAGGAGGTCGCCAAAGGAGTTCGGAGGTGTCCCCAACCTTTGGCGCCGCTCTGGACCCCCAAGACCTGGTTGACCCACGTGGGGGTCCAGCGAACATAGTAGGTGGTGCAGTAGGTCTGGTGCAATAGACATGTAGGGTTGCAGTAGCAGTCAATTTTGCGCGGGCAGTACATTCCGGTGCGCAAATGTATTGCTGGATTTTCTCGTGCAGTGCTCTCGTTGCCATACAAGGCGATACCATTCTCTGGCGGAGTACATGTGCAATACAATTCAGCTAGACCCCACTGTGGGCCAAGCAAACACAAGTTCTCCGGGCCTCGTGAAGGGCTGCTCTGGAGGCCGTCGGGGCCTCCCTGGAAAAGCAAGGGGCGTCTCGGGCCAGAGCCACTTCTGGCAACACCCGAGCAGGGGAGGACAGGGCGGTGGGGAAGGGGGGAGAGGGCGAGGAAGGCCAGGAGACCGGGGGAGGGGAGGGTGAGCGCCTCTCTGTTGGGAGGCGGGGAGGACGAGGCCAGAACGTGGATGAATCCTTCCAGAGCGTTCCGCAATGCTTTCAGAACGTTCCGGAACGCTTTGAGAAGGGCGTGGCGTCCGAGACATCTTCCAGAGCCGCCAGATCTCAGAGATTCTCGATTTATCCTTACCCGATTTCATCATCGTCCTGGCATCGTCTCACAGGGAGGACGGGACGGCATCTCGCTGCAAGGTGAAGCCCGTGGACGGCGACGAGCAGAAGCAGAAGGACGCCGGCGCACCGGCGCAGCCTGCCATTCTCTTCTCGATGACGACGATGACAGCGATGACGGTGTTGATGGTGGTGCCGATGATGTTGATGTTGATGGTAGTGGTGATGATGATCTTGCGGATGGTGATGGTGATGGTGATGGTGATGGTGATGGTGATGGTGATGAATGGTTGTAGTGGTTATGGTGTTGATGATGATAGTGGTGGTGGTAATGCTAATGAGGATGGTGAGGTTGTGTTGATGTTGATGGTTACCATGATGATGATGGTGACGATGGTGATGGTGGTTGTGTTGGTGGTGGGCTGCTGCTGATGATCATGCTGATGCTGATGATGCTGATGCTGATGCTGATGATGATGTTGGCGATGCTGCTGCTGATGATGATGTTGATGATGGTAATGGTGATGAAAGCGAGGAGGTGAAGGAGGTGATGATGATGGTGGTGATGGTGATGATGATGGTGATAGTGATATTCCGTCGCGACTTGCTTACGATGCGAGGATGTCTGGACCCCCTACCATTTTTGATCGTGACGTCGTTCCCCAGGGATTTCGATCCTCTTCCACGGGGCCTGCTTTTCGGCCTGGGCCGTTTCTTGACGGTTCTGGAGCCGGGAAGCGGCCTGAACGCCGGCAATGCAGAAACACCGCCATCGCGACTTTGCTGCGTCGCCTGGACCTAAGACCTAAGGGCAACGCGGCGTCGGCGAGGAGTCCCAGATCCTCTCGAACCTCGGTCTTCGGAGTTCGATCCTCAATCCTTGAGCCACCCCTTGTGCGCGCTGCCAAAAGGCGCTGGCGTCGGCGGTGGCGGCGGCGGGCGAGAGACCCAGCCTTCCGGCCCATGCGGGCGCCCCTCGGCGGCTCTTGGCAAGGCGCTGCTGCTTGAGAGGAACCCGTGGAATGCCGACGAAGATGCACACGAGCCTCGATCGCCAAACCTTGAGGCACGAACCTCGATCTCTCGAAGGGGGAAGCCCTGGAGGTGCGGCCCGCCGCTGGGCGTTCTCCGTGATACAATGGCGCGCCTGGCGCCGGGACGTGCCGGGAAAATCAGCTTCGTGAGCCGATCCGCTGACCCCACCCCTTTGCCCCCCTTTCTCTTAGCGGAGGAAGAACGTTCTAGAACAAGCTTACCCGCGCTCGGGGGCGCCTGTCCCAGGGCGGCTAGAAAGCTTATACCCCCGCCTGCCACGGCTGGCGCCCCCAAAGGAGGGAAAGAGTATCATATCCAGCTGCCTCCTGCAATGCCGCCACCGTGCCAGCGCTGCATTCAGGGTTGCAGCTATTCGAGAGGGCAAGGGGGCTTACCGAGGGCCTCGTGGGGCAGAAGGCTCGAATTCTCGGTGCGTGTTCCCACTCTTGGGGCCGCCTTGGGGCCCTCTTGGGCAGTGTCGTGAGCCTCTTGGGCTATCTTGGAGCTCTCTTGGGCCGTCTTGAAGCTCTCTTGAGGGCCTGTTGAACCGACTCGGGGGAGTATTGGGGGCTTCCTCGGCCGTCTTGGAGCGTCGGAAGCTCGAAAAGTCGAGAACCCGAAAATCATTGAACGGGAAATCAATGGTTGTGGCCTCTCGGGGCCGTCTTGGGGGCCTCCTGGGGGCCTCTCTTGGCCTTCTTGGGGCATCCTGGCATCCTGAGCCTTCATGGGGCGAGGCGCTCAAATTATGTCCCCTTCCCGCTTGCCAGCTGTTGCTTAGGTTCTAGCCCTGCACGTAGGACTGGCTGCATTTGACTGATGACGCCGCGCGGCTGTCCGCTAGCGGTCGGTAAACAAAAAATATCCCCACCAGCCCCTCGCGTTGCCCACGCCGGTCCCTCGGTGTCATTCACGCTGTTCCGACGGGGTTGTCAAGTCGCTTCTCTACGTCTGTCTGGCCGAAGGGTTCATGGACGTCGAGTTCGACATGCATACCTGGGGAATTGAACGACGGTCTCTCTCGCCCTGTACGTCACCGCCGTTCTGGGTGAGTGTGGCGTTCTCTCCGTGGTCGCCAGTGGGGTCGCCTTTCACTGACCTGCATCCTGTTCGACACTTACATGGACAGCGCCAAGCTGTCATCGCAATCGCCGCCACATGGGTTTTACAAACCATGGTGCGGGCTGGTGGATGGGATGTCTGCGCGGGCAGTAAAGTTGACGACTTCAAGTTCAAGGCGATCACCTGCGTCGGGCGGCCTTGCTATTCGCAGACGGACACGGGTATAGCGAAGTATTGTGGTGGGGTCAGGTGTGTTGCGATGCGTGGTCTGGCTCTTTTGGGCGGGGCCAGGCTTGCTTCGCTGGGTGGTCTGGTTTGATTCGACGGGTGGTCTGGCTCACGTTTGGGCGGGGTCGGGCCAATGTTTGGTTGATCTGGCTTTGTTTGACGCGTGGTCTTGTTTACTTTTGGGACAAATCTGGTGTAGTTGTGGGCCGTTTGGTTTGCATTGCTCGGTGGTTTGCTTTGCTTGTGGGCGGGGTCGGAGTAGCTCTCGGGAGGCCTAGCTTGATGCGATGGGCGGTCTGGCTTACTATTGGGCGGGGTCTGGTCGATTATTGGGTGGTGAAGCCTGTTGTGGCGGGTGGTCTGGTTCACCATTGGGAGGGGCCTGCTCTCTGTATTTGGGCGGACCAGCCTGCTTCGATGTGTGGTCTGGTATATTGTTGGGCGGTGTCGGGTCAATCGTCGGGCGGCCCAGTTTGCTGCGATGGTGGTTTGGTTTGCTGGTGGGATGGTCTGGCGTGCTTTGATGGGTGGCCTGGTTTACTTTGGGGTGTGGTTTGGCATACTTTTGGGCGGTCTTGTCTGCAGTAATTGGTGGTCGGGTTTATTTGTGGGCGAGGTCTGGTCTACTTTCGGGAGGCCCAGATTGCTACGGTGAGTGGTCTGGTTTATTTTTGAACGGAATTTGGTCTACAAGTAGGCGGTCTTGCCTACCTTGTCAGGTGGTCTGGCTTACTTTTTGGCGGGGTCTCCTCTTGTTTTGGGTGGCTTTGCTTGCTGTGATTGGTTCTTCTGGTTGCTCTTGGGCGACGTTCGTTGTTTTTTCTCGGGTGGCCCAGCTTGCTGTGGTGGGTGTTTGTTTGTTTATTGTTGGGCGGGGTCTGACCTGGTTTTGGGTGGTCCCGCTGGCTGCGACGTGTGTTCTACTTTACTTGTGGGCGAGGTCTGGTTTACGTTCGGGTGAATGCCTTCTGTGATGCGTGGTCTGGTTTATTGAATCGCTTCGCTCATTCCGCCGGCCCGTGATATGGCATCGCTGGTTTTTGTCTGTGTGTTCGTTGCCCATGTTGCGCTCTTGGGGGCGGGTGTCGTTCGGACGCGTTGCGTGGGGAGTTTCGATGGTGAAGCAGTTCCCTGGGGGTCGTCTCTCGATGGGGCGAAATAGAGTCGTCGTCAAGATGCTTCTTTGGGGGGCCTCTTGGGGTCTGTTGAGAGGCCGTTCGGGGGCGCCTGGGAGACATGTTTGAAGCCTTCTGGGGCTTCTTTTGGGCCTCCTGGGAGTCTCCTGGGGCCTCTTGGCGACATCTTGGGGCCTCTTGGAGGCCTCTTGGGGCCTCTTTGGGACCTCCTGGGCGCCTTCTGGGACGGAGGGCTCCATTTTTGAGTTCTCGGTATCCCTCCTGAGTCCCTCTTGGGCCCGTCTTGGGGCCTCTTGGTCCGTCTTGGGCGGCACTTGGGCCGTCTTGAGGGCTCTCTTGGGTCGTTTCGGCGCCGTCTTGGGAGCTTCGTGGGCCGTCTTGGAGCGGTCTTGGGGGCCTCTTGGGCCGTCTTGGAGCGTCCGGAAGCCGAAAAAGCCAGAACACAAAAAACATAGAAAAAACAAATGAAAATCAACGATTTTGGCCTCTTGGGGCTCTCTTCGGAGGCCTCTTGGAAGGCTCTTGGGGCGTCTTGGAGGCCTCTTGGGCTGTCTTGGGGGCCTTTTGGGCCGTCTTGGGGTCATCTTCGGCGTCTTCGAGCGCTCTTTGGGCGTCTCGGGGGCCTCTTGGGCAGTCTTGGGGGCCTCTTGGGGCACTCTGAGCGCGCTCTGGGGAGCCTGAGAGGCCGCACCCAGAAGGAAAACCATCTCTGAGTAGACTTGGTCGGGCGGCGGTCGGGCGGCGACCGGGCGGCGACCGGGCGTTGGTCGGGGTACTTTTCGCCGGGGGACCCCCAGGGGCCGCCCCGCGCGCGCGAACTAGAAATACTGTTAATACTGTTAACCAGTTACCGGAGATCTTAGCACGCCCTGGCCCGTTGGGCCGGCGAATTTGTGGGTGGGATCGGGTCTCTTTTCAGGGCGGTCCTGCAGTACCACGGCGGCGGTCTAGATGTATGTGGTGAATGTGTGTGTCAGCTGCTTTGTCGGTGGACAGGTCAGTGGTATAGGTGTGTGCGTGTGTGCGTTGTTCGTTCGTCACTACAGGTTTGTGTGTGCTGTCCTCTCCTCAGCCAGCCAGGGGCGGCGTCGGCGGCGGCGTCAGTCCGGGGCAGGAGCGGTTTGCATCACGAGCGCAACCCCAGAGGTCCTGAGCCCTTCCTCGGGGGTAGGTCTGGGTCCCGGATCCGTTCCTGAAGGTCCATGGGCCCGAAAGCTCGAGGCCTCCCAGATGGGGTCGAAGCAGATGGGGTCGGAGTACGAGGATCGCCGCTGCAGCGCCGATGAATCGGCGATGCATCGGCGATGCGGCCGAATGTGGAGCCCGATTTTCTACGGTGACGTGGCCCATGCATCGCCGACGCCGATGCATCGGCCTCGTGGCCTTCTCCTCTGACACCACTCTCACCCCATCTGGGAGGCCTCCAAGGTCCGAAATCCAGACTGCAATAATATAATCGCCAGAGATTTGGTTTTCGGGTCGTAACTCGAGTCTCCGGCGGCAGATCGGGCCGATCTGGACGCCCCCTGGAGCGCCTTCAGCGAGGCTCAGCTGCCCGAGAGCATCCCGAGGCTGTAAAACAGCCGAGAACCGACGAAAACGTAGTTGAACCACGAACCCAGACCCCGCCGTCATAATTTTGTCATATCGTCGACCCCCACAGGTCGGTCCCGACGCATTCCTCAGGACCGGCTTCTCATCCTAAGCTATTTTTTGATGGTCCCGAGGACCGGTAAAGGCCCCCAGAGGTCGCACTCGTCGAACACTTGTTTGTCGTGTTTTTGTTCGTTCCTCGAGGGGGTCTGTCAGCAGGGGCGTGGGGGGAGGGGGGAAGGCTTCTCAGAAGCACCCCGCTTCTTAGAAGGCGCGCGCCTCATCTATAGATGCAAGGCCAGCGCCTTCTAAGAAGCAGCCTCCTGTTCAGAAGCCTTCCCCCCTCCCTCTACCCAACTGGGCGCACCGCCAACTGGACGACGAAAAAAAAGCGGGGTCAACTGCGCCGACATTGGCGCGTAAGCTGCCCGCGTAAGGTCGCGCGTCAGCGCCTTTGTCTCCACGGTAACTAGCGTGCCGCGCCGGCGGCCCGCGTAAGCCGCCGCGTAATGTCGCTGTGCCATCTCGCGTAAGAGTGAGAAAGTCTAGGATTCGCAAGGGACTGGGTTCCTTCTAAAACGGCCGAGACCTTCCCGAAATCCTCCGAAACCTCTCCGGGAAGAGTTCCTAGAAGCTTTTCGGAGGATTCCAGGAGGGTTTTGGAAGGGCTTTCGTCGTTTGGGAAGGGGGCCAGTCCCTAGCGAACTCTGGGCTTTCTAACGTAAGACCCCTGTTTGATCGTCGCTGCGGCCGCGGCCGGCCGGGGCCGGAGCGGCCCCCGTCGCGGCGCGATGAGCCCGCCGCCCCACAGGAGCGAGACGCCAAGGCCGCGGCGGGCAGCAGCCCGTCGCAGCCCAGGAGGTCGCGCTCGACGCCCTCGCCGATGCGGCGGGGCTCCGCCCCGCGGGGGGGGCCCAATCGTCATCAGATCTCACGGTTGCTTAGCTTGAAGACGAAGACATTTGCATCAACATAAACTTTTGGTGCTCCGCGCGGATTTCTTGGATCTACGCTGGGCCCCTCCAGCGGCGCCTCCGGCGCCGCCCCTGGCGCGCTTCGCGCCAGGGAGGGGGGTCCAGCGCAGCTCCAAGAACTCCGCGCGGAGCGCCATAAGTCTATGGTTACGCCTTTTTGTAGCTGCCTCGATGCGCCCGTCTTGAAACGCAACACGTACCGTGCTCCAGACGCCCGTGTCAATGCGTTGCGTGTTGGCCCAACGTATTGGCCCACGTTTGGGCGAACGCAGCAGTCCACGTGTTGAGAGCCGTATCACTGCGCTGCGTATTGCGTGTTGCGCATCGGAGCAGCTAAGCACGGTTGGTGTTCGCACGTTTCGTCAGTTCCTGGAGGTTTCCTTGCCTCGGGATGCGTTTCCAGCAGCTGCGCCTCGCCCGGATTGTCCCGAGCGGCCGCCAGAGGCCCGAGATATGGCCCGAACACCAGACGTGCTCGCGTTATGAAGAAGTCGCGACGGCCGTTTTCGGCCTCCAGAGGCCCCCGCCCAGAGCCGGCACCATCAAAAAATTTGCCGAGGTGGAAGAACCGGTCCCTCCGCCCCTCGAGGGGAGAGGAGGATGATCAGAAATGGAAACGTTACACCGATATCGCTAGCATTCCATAGTCTTCTCTTTCTCGGGCCTCTTTGGGGGCCCTCGTCGCCACGACTGAATTCGCTTCGGAATCCTGGTCAGAACGCACCCCAGGAGAGGTCCGGATGAGGAGGAGGAGGAGGAGGAGGAGGAGGAGGAAGCGGAGGGAGCCTCCCCCGACATCTCCGCGTCGTTGACAAAATAGCGACGGAGGGTTTTGAACCGTTTTCGACCTCCGGGGGCCCTCACCTGGACCCGGGACCGTTGAAGAACGACTCGGGATGAGAAGCTGGCCTTGGGGAAGGGTTTCGATTTCTGGGGATTCTGCATTTTAGAAATCAAGACATCGGATGTTTGGGTCGGCCGGAGGAGGCAGGGCAGAACGAGGGTGAGGAGGAGGAGGAGGAGGAGGAGGAGGAGGAGGAGGAGGAGGAGAAGGAGGAATAGGAGGAATAGTAGGAGGAGGAGGAGCAGCAGCAGCAGCAGCAGCACGACGAACGCTACAGCACACTGGCTCGAGTTCGCGCAACGTCAAGAAGCAACAGCATGAAGAGGAGGGGGACAATCAGGACCAGGAAGAATGCAGCTCAGGAAGGGGCACAAACATTCGGTCGGACCGGGGTATAAGATCGAGGTCGGCTTGGGGAGAGTACCCTCATGTTCTTCGTGTTTATTGGATATGTTTGTGCATCCTTGGGAAGGCTACCCTCGAATGTTCTTCAGTTTGGCCGTCGGAGGGTCTCATACCCTAACCGTCGTGGGCTGCTAAGAAAATGCCGCTGGCCCAAGGTGCCCCCAGCGTTTCGCTTCATTTTCTCAGTTGCGATGATACGCCCGTGTTGAAACGCAACCCGTACCGTGTTCAAGACGTCTGTGTTGACCCGTTGGGTGTTGGCTCCACGTGCTGGCCCGGATTTGGGCGAAAGTGCCGCGCCAAACGTACGTTTTCAATCTACGTGTTAAGCTCGGTTTCAGCACGCTACGGGTTGTGTTTTGCGTATTTGGGCGGCTAAGTTCATTTTGGAGCCCCTGGGGCCCCTCTGGGCCTCGTGAGGGGTGCCTCAGAGGCCACGAGGGCCTCCTTGGAAATCCTGGGGGCACCTTGGGCCACGGGCACTTGTGGCAACACCCGGAACTTCACCGACGGGCCCATGCTGCCCTCTCGCATCTTACAACGTGTCGGGCGCAGTTCTGCTTGAACGGAGCGGCGGAAGCCGATATCGGCGCTCGGCGCTCGGCGCCTGGGAGCGGTGCGGCGGTCGGGTCGCCCATTTGTGGCCTGGTGGGTGGGCAGGAGCCCCCCGTTGAGCACCGGCCCCCTGTCGCGGCTGCGGCCGAGAAGGCTGGCCATATGTGGCCGCGTCCACCTAGTTGCGTTGCCAGCTTGCGGCAGCCACACACCCGTGTTGGCGAGGCCGATCCCTTCTGAGAATGTCCCCCCTGGCTTCTTAGAACGCCCGCCCCCTCGCCGAGCACCCCTTTTGCACGCCGCCGAGAGGAGCAGGAGACGAGAGGAGGAGGAGGAGGAGGAGGAGGAGGAGGAGGAGGAGGAGGAGGAGGAGGAGGAGGAGGAGGAGGAGGGAGAGAGGAGGCCGTGTTGCAGGCTGCGTGGTGCCAGTGTTCATGAGGGCATGGTCGCTACGTACCCTTCTTTGAGGAGGGTTTCACTTCAGGGCACTGGTTGTCTTAACAGATATGTCTCTATTGCGTCCCTTCTCGCGGGAAACTCCAGAAACTTGGCCGTCGATGCATCCCTGGGCTCACCGACCACGGGAAGAGGGTATTGAACTGTTTGACAGCAGGGAAATTGCCCCCAGATCTCAAGGCTTGGCCTGATTGATCGGGGAAGGCTGTGCCGTCTCCTGTCGCGGGCCTCGGCGGGGCTGTCGCCCCCCGTCGTTGGTCGACAAACCTCCACTGATGGAGGCGGCACGGTTTTTGTTTTCCCTCCCCTTTCGGAGGCCCTCAGTGGACCCTTCCTCCGCAGGCAGGTAAGAGGTAAGAGGAGGAGGAGGAGGAGAGGAGGAGGAGGAGGAGGAGGAGGAGGAGGAGGAGGAGGAGGAGGAGGAGGAGGAGGAGAGGAGGAGGAGGAGGAGGAGGAGGAGGAGGAGGAGGAGGAGGAGGAGGAGAGGAGGAGGAGGAGAACGAGGAGGAGGAGCAGAAGGAGGAGATGAGGAGAGAGGAGGAGGAGGAGGAGAGGAGGAGGAGGAGGAGGAGCAGGAGGAGGAGGAGGAGGAGGAGGAGGAGGAGGAGGAGGAGGAGGTAGGTGCAGAGGGCTTGAAGGATGACTGGAAATAAGAGCATGCTGACGTCAGAAGAGGGGAGGGGGGACATCGCAGCACCGAGACATTCTTCACCTGGACTCCACGGCACAGTGCCACGGCAAGAATGCACAACAGCACCAGAACACGATGATGCCGCGGCACCAGCACACCCACAGCGCCACGACCTCACGACGCGGCAACGCGACATCACTACGCAACGGCCCCCCTCTCGACAGCTGGGAAGACGAGCAGGAGTAGGGTACTGCCATGGACATTCGTGCGCACACGTGCGCACACGATGTACGCACGACACGGCGAACGACGAAGCTTCGATTGCCAAACACCCAGCCCCAGACGACACCACGACGCCACGAAAGCACGACGCCGCGACAGCAGGGTGCAGCGGAACCTCGGCGTGAAGACGCCGCACCATCACACAGCGAAGCCACAAGAGCACGACGTCGCGACACCGCCCCGGCGCGGCGTTACAATTGCGAAGCTGCGACACTGCGACTCCGTGACGGCTTGAATCCTTTTGACCCCATGACCCCACCGCACCACCACGGTGTTGCACGAAGGCACCGTGACACTCTGATGCCATTACAACGCGACACCACGACGCCAGGTGCCCGCTACATCTTGGCACCGATATGCCACCTCACTACAACACGACATTACGACGCGAGACCACAACATCACGACAACTCGGCACCCGCGACGCCAAGACGCCACGATGCTACGACCCGACACGAGTACACCAAGGCACCGCGGCATCGCGCTGAGGCCGAGGCGTGGCAGAACGAGCAGGAGGTGGAGGACCTTCTTCCCAGAAGCGAGCCAGCTGCCATGGGCACTGGCGAACGGCTTCGTGCGCACTGCGGACCGCACGAAACGCGAATCCACAATGCATGTTTGGAGGACACATCTAGAGTTTCTTTCGCCAAGGGGATATGCAGTGGATTGCGGCTCAACCCACAACTGTGCCTGGGATGTGGACCAGAGGCCTCTTAGATGTCGTTGGGGGTCTGCAGGAGACCTCTCGGAATGCGTCTTGGGGCCTCTTAAAGCCTCTTTTGGCCTCTCGGGGATCTCGCAGGAAGCTCTTGGAGACCGCTTGGGGCTCGTTTCTATTGGAGCCCACGGCCCCAAAATTCAGCTCGTCTCCCCCTCTGAGGCCCTTGTTGGGGAAGGCTTGGGGGCAGTCTTGAGGGCCTTTTGGACCACTATTGGTTGCTTGGAGGTCGTCTCGGGGCGACCTTGAGGACCTCTTGAGCCGCTTGGGGCGTTTTTTAAAGCTCATGCGGCGAGAAGGTCCGAATCACTGAAGCGGCGTATCTCTGTTTCAAAGATTTAGCCCATCGGACTGGTCCCGAGGTTGCTTGGAAGGAGATGTACACCCCGTTCCGTGGACGAAGTCGAACACACAATCCGCGTGATATGAGCTGTCTTGCTACGCCAGGACCAACTGTCCCCAGAGGGAGTGTTCGACATAAGCACGCCGCGCTCGGCTCGCACTGTATGTAGCGGCTTATTGTGCGTGGTGCATGGTTCCGAGCTCCTTTCCCATGGGGAAAAATCTTGGAGGCTTGGCGCGGCTCGATAGCTGTAGTATTGTGTTCACGTCAGCTCCGTAAGCCATGGGTGGACGTTCGCGCGGCGAGTCCCTGGCGTCGGTCCGACGTAATTGCGACGTAATTCGACGTGGACCCGATGTAAATTAGACGTGGGTCCGACGTACATTGGGTCTCAACTTGCCGCGCGAGGCCGCCAGGATTTTCTTCACCCTTCCTGCATCTAGGGCTCCTGACGGCGGTGGCGGCAGCGAAATTACGGAGTGTGTGGGCAGGCGGCGGAGCGACAAGGCGGCCAGGAGCAGCCCCAGCGTCAAGAGACCGAACAAGAGCAGCCCCAGCGCCAAGAGGCCGCGCAAGAGCAGCCCCAGCGTCAAGAGACCGCGCAAGAGTGCCAGCAGGACCTCTTTCGGTGTGTGATCGTCTTCTTATTCTTTGATTTGCTGATCGGCGCGGGCCCTCGCACCCCCTCCCCCCCTCATGGAGTAGATCTGGTCTGTTGTTGGCGCCTGCTTCAAGCAGAGTCTCCCCCAGAGGGCGCACGGTTCCAAAGAGTCGCACTAAGCAGAGGTCTGGAGCAAGACCCCCCTTCCCCCCGCCCCTTCCGCCCAGTGTCGAAACTCCGAATAAGAAACAGTCCACGATAGACAGTACGTAGCCAGTATGTCTGAGCAAGCGGCGGGACAAACTACGATACCATACCTCGTAAACTAAACATGCGATCGGGTGGTTTGTGTATTATACGTACGGCCCGATGGTGCCCTATCAGCGTTCGAGGGCGCATGTTTTAACCCCAAGGGCACGGGTGAAAAATTCCTAGGGCTGAAGAGGGGGAGGAGATGGAGTAAAGGGCACAGCTCATGGCTCATGTCTTCCTCTATTGTTGAAATGATTGGACTGGTTGCTAGTTCATGGGGGAAGACATGCTTTGCGGGGATGACCATGTCGTGCTAGAGCAAAGTTGCCGCTTGCCGTGATATGTTATCCGACATGGGGGCATCATGTTTTGCAGTGGTATTGGTCCGATGCGTTGGCGATGCCCTGTTTGCTTGTTCGATCGACTTGAGTTTCTTCCGTGCGTGTCTGCTTGAGGCATTCGTCTCGTTTGGTTATGTACAATTCCATGCGTTGAACAACAGCCCTGTAGGATCATGGGCCGCTCTTGGGTGCCTCTCTGGGCCAACTTGGGGCCCTCTTGCGGTGCTCAAGGGCTGTCTTGGAGACCATCTCGGGTGTCTTCGAGGCCTCTCGGGCCGTCTTGGGGCCGTCTTGGGGGCCTCTTGGGCCGTTCTGGGGTCATCTTGGAGGCCGCTTGGGCGATCTTGGGGGCGATCTTTGAGGGCTCTTGGGCTGTCTCGGGGCCCTCTTGGAGCTGTCGTTAGTGCTTCTTGGGCCGTTCTGGGGTCATCTTGGAGGCCTCTTGGGCGATCTTGGGGGCGATCTTGGGTGGCTCTTGGGCCGTGCCGGGCCGTCAGAAGGCCGAAAAGAAGCAAATGCCAACATCCTTTTTAAACACCTGAGGAAAATCAATGATTTTCGCCTCTTCGGGGTTTCCTGGAAGCCCTCTTGGGGGCCTCTTGGGCCGTCTTGGAAAACTCTTGGGCCGTCTTGAGCCATCTTGGAGCCATCTTGGGCCGTCTTGAGGGCCTCCTGGCACGTCCGTCTCCGTCAGAAGCCGTCTTGAGGGCCTCTCTGGGCCGACTTGGGGCCTTCTTGGGGTGCTCCAGAGCTGTCTTGGAGGCCATCTAGAGCGTCTTGGAGGCCTCTTGGGCCGTCTTGGGGCCATCTTCGGACAGTTTTGGGCGCTTCTTGGGCCGTTCTGGGGTCATCTTGGAGGCCTCCTGGGCGATCTTGGGGCGATCTGTGGGGGCTCTTGGGCCTTTTCGGGCCGTCGGAAGGCGGGAAAGAAGCAAATGCCAAAATCCTTCAAACATGTGAGGCACATCAAGGAGTTTGGCCTCTTTGGGCCCTCCTGCAGGACGTCTTGGAGGCCTCTTGGGCCGTCTTGGAGGCCTCTTGAGCCCTCTTGGGCCGTTTTGGAGGCTTCTTGGGCGGACTTGGAGGCATCTTCGACCCTCTGTGGCCGTCTTGGAGGCCATGATGGACCATCTTGGGCGAACTTGGAGGCCATCTCGGTCAATCTGAGCCGTCTTGAAGGCCATCTTCGGCCATCTTGGAGCGGGAAAGGCATTGACAGCCAAATTTTTGGGTCCCTTCCGGGTGGCCGGCGGGACGGACCGAAGCCCCAGGGGGAGTTTTTTGGGGAAAAAAACCAAAACCAAAGACCGTAGAATCCAGCACGCAAGGCACCCTTGTAACAAGACCACAGGGGGCGGCGGATCGAATGGCCTTCGGACCATCCCGCCATCGTGCCTGGCTTGTGGGTATGAAGCCTATTGGATGTTCGCTGGGATCTCGTGAGAGGCCTCTCGGGGGGCTCTTGGAGGCAGTTTCGGGGCCTCTTCGGAGCCGTTTCGGGACCTCTTTGGGGCCTCTTTGGGGCCTCTCGGGGGCCTTTTAGGGCATCTCGGGGGCCTCTTGGGGGCCTCTGTGAGCCTCCTGCGCGCCTCTTGGGGCCTCCTGGGGACCTCTTGCGGCGGAAGGCTAGGAGTTTCGGTTCGCGTTCCGTCTCTAGGGCTCCTTTTCGGGCCGTCTCGGGGCCCTCTTGGGCCGTCTTCGGCGCCTCTTGGGCTGTCTTGGGGCGCTCGCAGGCCGTCTTGGGGCCCTCTTGGACGCCTCTTGGGCCGTTTCTGGATAGTCTTGGGGGCCTCTTGGGCCGTCTTGGAGCGCCGAATCCCTTCAAAAACCAACGGGAAGTCAATGTTTGTTTGCCACTTGGGGCCCTCTTGGGAGGCCTCCTGGAGGCAACGCCCAAACCCTTCAAAAACCCCGGGAAAGTAAATGATATTTGCCTCTTGGGGCTCTCTTGAGAGTCCTCTTGGAGGCTTCCTGCGCCGTTGAGAGACCATCTTGGGCGTCTTGAGCCGATCTTTGGGCGTCTCGGGGCGCTCTTGGACCGTCTTGGGAGCCGCTTGGGATATTTTATTGGCCTGAAAAAGTTGTGCGAGAACACGCGGGAAGCCGCGGTAGATTTGAGAACTTTGGGTCCCGGCCCTTTAGGGACTCCTCAGGACTGAGGACTGCGGCTCCAGGGATCAGGCAAAGGACCTGAGGACACGCCCACTGCGTGCCCAGGGGCACGGTGGCGGATGTGATTCATTGTTTTCATGTGGGTGGCATTCGACTCACTTCCGATGCTTGGTTTTGCCTCCGAAGACTCGTCTGAAATATCGGCGGCTGATTTGTTCAAAATTGCCTTGAGGTCGGAGGTTGGGGGGTGACATCGCAGTGGAACGGAGACCCCCAACCGGGAAATCGTTTCGTTTCGTTCGTGCCGTGCGTGCGGGCGAGGCGAAGTTGCGTTGGCGCGCGAGAGGAATGATCCCGCTGTTGCTCGGGCGAAGTCAAGACAAATGATTCTCCCCCGCCCTCCCGTCCGGCGGTGGCTCGCGGTGTCCCGCGGTGTCCCGTGGTGTCCCGTGGTGTCCCGTGGTGTGCCGCCGTTGCTAGGGCGAAGTCAAGACAAATGATTCTCCCCCGCCCGCCCGTCCGTCCGGCGGTGGCTCGCGGTGTACCGCGGTGGCCCGCGGTGGCCCGTTGTGTCCCGTGGTGTCCCGTTGAGTGAGATCGATAGTGAGGTCGACAGGTGTCCCGTGGTGTCTCGTTGAGTGAGATCGATAGTGAGATCGACCAGTGTCCCGTGGTGTCCCGTGGTGCCCCGTTGAGAATGAGATCGTTGGTGATATCGATCGTGAGGTTGATAGGGGGATCGATAGTGAGATCGACAGATGTCCCGTGGTGTCCCGTTGAGAATGAGATCGATAGTGATATCGATCGTGAAATCGATAGTGAGCTCGACCAGTGTCCCGTGGTGTCCCGTGATGTGAGATTGATCGTGAGATCGATAGCGAGATCGATAGTAAGATCGATAGTGAGATCGATAGTGAGATCGATAGTGATATTGAGAGTGAGATCGATAGTGAGATCAGTGAGATCGACAGTGAGATCGATAGTGCGATCGATAGTGAGATCGATAGTGAGATCGATTGAGTCAGACGTTTGCTCCCCCCACACAACCTCCTTATCACCCGAAGGGTGGTCGTATATGTATACGCCAGCATTGAAGCCAGAGGTGAAAGCATGAGAGGATTGGTTGTTCAGTGGTTCATCAGATTTCACATGTTGCTAGCATCTACGCCCATGGGAAGAAAAGGAGCATGTGAAGAAACCGCAATGTTAAACACCCTGGTATGTTCCCAACCATCCTGTGGATTTGGGTCCTCGCTTTGAAGAGACAGTCCCTCTCCTCCTCCCCCCCTCCCTCTTCCCATCCTTGCCTTCGCCCTCCGAGTGTCAACCTGTCAAGAAACCACTCACACGCTTCGTGGCCCCCTTAGGAGCTCAACAGAAGGCCCCACTGGTACGGTCAACATGCGCTTCCCCCCCCCATCTGGGCACACCCCTCACACGTTTCGTGGCCCCATAGGGTGCCCCACCGATTGCACCAGTGGCACAGTCCACATGCGTATCCCCGCCAATTTGGGCACGTGGCTCCATACGGAGCCCCACCGAAGGCCCCAGTGTAGTAGTCCACATGCGGTTTCCCGCTCGTTTGGGCACACCACACACGCGTCGTGGTCCCATAGGGACCTCCAATGACGTCCCCAGTGGCAAAGTTCTCACGCGTTTCCCCTTCCCATCTGGGCACACCACACACACGTTTCGTGGCCCCACGGGGAGCTTTATCGAAGGCACCAGTGGCAAAGTCCACATTCTGTTCCCGCAAGTTTCGGCACACCTCTCACACGTTTCGCGGCCCCATGGGGAGCTCCACCTACAGCCCCGGTGGCACGGTCCACGTGCGGTTCCCCGACCATGTTGGCACACCTCTTCACGTTCCGTGGCCCCACAGGGGGCTCCACCGAAGGCCACACTGGCAAAGCTAGCATACGTTTCCCCGCCAACTTGGGCGCACCTCTCACACGTCTCGTGGCCCCATGCAGTGGCACGGTCCATACGCGGTTCCCCGCCTCTTTGGGCACACCGCTCACGCGCTTCGTGGCCCCATAGGGAGCTCCACCGACGGCCGCAGTGTCGCAATCCACATGCGGTTGCCTGCCGATTCCCGCATACCCCTCACACGTTTCGTGGCCCCGATAGCGAGTTCCTCCGGAGGCCTCAGTGTCAAAGTTAGCATGCGTTTCCCCGCCATTTGGGCACACCAGTCACACGTTTCGTGGCCCCATAGGGAGCCCCACCGATTGCACCAGTGGCACAATCCACATGCTGTTTCCCGCAAATTGTTGCACATTCCTCGCAAGTGTCGCGGCCCCAAAAGGGGGCTCCACCTATTGCCCCAGTGACAGGGTTCGCGTGCGGTTTCACGCCCATGTCGGCACACTACTCACACGTTCCGTGGCCCCATAGGGAGTTCCCGAAGGCCCCAGCGGCAAAGTTAGCATGCGTTTCGCCTTCCCATGTGGGCATACCGGTCACACGTT